GTCTGATATGCGTCCTAATCCGTCAAAGCATTTGGAATATTTCTCGAATATCTGTTCACTTGTAAGTCCGTTTAGTGAACTTTGAGGTGACGCGTCGTTAATTGGCTGGTTGCGCAGCTGGTCTACGTTATGAAATGTTATAAGTTTCATACTTTTACAGTTTGTACATCCGAGCAAGGATTTGCCCGTCTCGACCACTTGAAACTCGAGTACTTCAGTCGCTCCTTTGTATTGACACTTTAAATAGCATTTTCCGATGACAGGAATGTTATGGCCTCCGAAAGCGGTCAGTTTTGCGGCGCTCGTTTTGAGCTTGCTACGACGTTGTCGTTTTGGAACAGTGGCTTCGAAATCTTTCTTTGTTAGAACGTTTGTCTCGGCTCCGGAGTCGAGTTTTATGCGAATTGTCGTGTTGTTAATTTTAAGAGATGCGTGTTCTTCGTCATTGTCACTTGTCACAGCTGTCTTCACCATATCAATTCCGTGCGTCGAGGAGTCGCTTTCATAATCTACATCGTGAACTGATTTCCTTGGGTTTTTAGCTTGCGATCGACATAGTTTGGCAAAGTGTCCTAGTTTTTGACAGTTATTGCACTTTTTCCCATATGCAGGGCAAGATTTTGGCTCGTGAACTCGACCACAATTACCGCAGGATTTGTTTGGGGGTTTTTCGTTTTCCGGTTTGATGTTGTGGTTGCGAAAATTCCCTCTGTAATTGTGTTTTCGCTGGTCTTTCCCCAATGCGTCGACATTGGCGGAACTCTGATCGCTTAGCGACTTCACTTGCTTGCGAGATACTTCGGATGCTCGGCATATATCCAAGGTTTTCTGCAGGGTTAACTCGGATTCACGAAGTAGACTCGTTCTTTAATACTTTGGTTACGAATTCCACAAACTATCCGGTCACGAATTAGCCCATCGTGAAGTGTCTTAAATTCACATGTTGCTGCGAGAGTGCGCAAAACAGTCACATACTGGTCGATGCTTTCGTTTTCGTCTTGATTCCGTATGTTGAATTTGTGTCGTTCGAACGTAATGTTCTTTCTCGGGTTACAGTAGGTTTTAAACGCTGATTTTAGCTCGTTTGTTGTTCTCTTCCACGTTGTTGCCCCCTCTTGGTTTGTCTCTGTTTCTGGCGTTGCGAACGTCAAGGTCTTGTGAACTTCTCGGCCTTTCTCTCCAATGCATAGAAGAAAGTATGAGCATCTTTCCTCTTCAGACCGTCCTTTCAGCTCAGTCTTCTCGAAGAGCGTCCAGTGCTCCTCAAATTTGCGAAAGTTTTCACTGACGTTCCCGTGTAATTTCAAAGGTTTAGGCGCTGCCCATTGAAGGTTTCCTGATGCCATGTTTACTGCTTTTTATGGCATCCCACTTCTGACACCATGTAATGCTTCTATGTGCTTATAGAAGATTTATTCATAAGTAAAAGATACACGTCTGATTATGTCTAGGTGTTCTAGCGAGTCCTTGAGGTTCCTATTACAATTACATGTGCTAGTGATTATGATGTGAACTGTCAATCAACCTAATTGATGTATATATATAGCTACTATATATGAGCATATATTACAGTTTAAATGTCTTAACCCTTCGTTAACTAACCGCACCTCTAACCCAGCTTTGAACAACGCAGTTTTAACTCAGGGTTAACTTGCCCTGGGTTAAGGGTTTTAACCTAGGGTTAAAATTTAACCCTAGGTTAAGCAAATTTAACCCTAGGTTAGCGTTAACCGGCTTTTGAACAACCGGCCCCTGCTCGTTTATTAAACAGTACTACAAGAACACACGCATTACGTGTTTCGCCTCATTCCTCCAACTGGATCATAATGATTGCTCTGCCTCATTGCTCCGCCTCGTTACTCCACCTCATTACTCTACCTCATTCCGCCTCAAAAAAGGAGTTCGATCGGTACATATATAACTACTAACACCCGTGATTTTGCTTTTTGTGCTCTCATCGGACGCACTAAACAAGACGAAATCGAGTTTGACTAACCACGCAGGCGCAGTAAAACACTACTGTTTTCCTGGCCAACCGTATACCTGCCTAACCTGTACCGCCAAGTACCTATCTAATATGAACACGTTCAGCTATTGGTTGTCTGAACTCTGAAACAAAGTATAAGTGTTTATGATTCGTTCTTTAGAAATATAATTTCTGTAGACCTCTGTAGATTATTTAACAATTATTCGCCGAAGGCGAGGTGATTATCGGTGAATAAAAACCGAGACGAAGTCGAGGTTTTTATTCACGATAATCACCGAGCCTGAGGTGAATAATTGTTTTAGTATAATTCCATAGGTGATTATTTGGAAAAAAATAAGAAAATACACATTTCTTCATCATTTAATTGACAAAAAGGCTTCGGCCGCCATTTTGAAAATCGCTTAGGTGATTATCGCGTAATAATCACCTCAACGGCAACCAATCAGCGTGGAGAATTTTCAATAATCACCTATGTAATTATACTAATGTATTTTATTGTCATTATTAACCAATCACAATATAGGTAGGACGGCATATCCCGCGCGTGTGAGCAAATATAACCAGACGAATTTTCGTATGGGTGAACGTATTTTTATATTCCATTTCAATTTACAGGTACGAAGATCCTTGTCATCAATAGATGGACGAATGATCAGACTTATGTCATTGATTCAATAAATCGGCAGTTAAATATATTCATAACTTTTTTGGCTATAAATCAATTCTGTAGTTAAATACTGCGATAGTTGGATGTGATATACTCAGGGACGGAAGTGACGTATATTGGCTGAGTTTTAAACTAGTTTGAATATAAATATTTCTGGAAGGATATGAATATCAACTATCAAAAATAAAGGTAAAATATTCCGCTCCCACCCCGAACATGTCATGTTCATCAGACATCGAGTTCCCAGAAATTGCCGGTTACTGAGTATTAATTAAATACAATTATACAATAGTAACTCCGAAAACAGTAAACATTTTGTCTTGAAAGTTCATTTTATATCGAAGCCAGGAAAGAGCTCGAACAAAATTTCTTAATAATCCACATTTCATTCTTGTAGTTACTCTTTCAACGTCCTTACATTTATAACTGACACTCACGAGCGATATGTATTAAAACATTCTATTTAAAATTAAAAATATTTATACTAAAAAATGGCTCACAAAATATATTTCGTATAAAACCTCGTCAGTTGTTCGTTGTCATTTGGTCCTGTCTCTCAGTTGTCATCAGTTGCTGTTGACGAGGTTTTATACGAAATATATTTTGTGAGCCATTTTTTAGTAAATATTTTTAATTTTAAATGAGAATGTTTTAATACATATCGTTCGTGAGTGTCTGTTATAACGTTGAAAGAGTAAAGATAAGAAAGAAATGTCGATTATTAAGAAATTTAGTAAACATTTTGAAAAGTGTTCATTCTAAATAAGTGTTAACTTTATTCTATTTACACTTTTCAAAATGTTTACCGTTTTCAGAGTTACTATATATTGAAGTAAATTGCACAATGTCGGAAATTTAGTCCACTGGGAACTTTGCCCGGGGTGATGTAATTCCGGGGATGAATGTAACGAACACGTTGTTGATCGGAAAACATTAGCGAAAATTTTCTGATATGTCCGGAAAATCTTTTTTGATATGTCCGGAAAACGTCTCGCCAACAATTTCGGGAAAAAATATTAATGTTCAGTTTACCTGTTCGGGCAAACTAAACTGTGCCCCCTCCCCCAAAAAAGATTAGGCCCATACGCCCATGCGAAGCGTGAACTACATATCAGATAATATTTGTAAATTTATTTTTGTTTTATTATATATTTTATTAACTTTGTGATTGTGTTCTGAAGACCCGTTTCCAACATAAGTGGCGTCCCCGGGTGGGCAGAAATCAGCTCACAAATCATTGAATCAATCGGAAATTTGAGCAAGAATATCGAAACTGACGAAACTCAGGCTCATTAAGTTCAGTCACGCAAGAACAAGCAGAGAAATCAGTCGAAATCAACAATGTTTTAGCCATGGGACGACAGATAAAGACCTTAACAACGGAGGTAGGCGAAGTTCATGATATTAAAGTTAAAATTCAAGAATTAAAAATCGAAAAAGGCGAAAAAATCGAAGATATACAGACATGGAATGCAGCGTTGGAAGCAGCCTGCGTGGCAGGCGGTATTTCTACAGGCAGCGAAAATTAGGGAGTCAAAGGAAATACCTAGTACCGCCTGCCATGCAGGCTACGTTGGAAGATAAATTATTCGCCATCGAAGCACAAATTGCTGACCTCGACAATTCTTTAAAACGGATCGATCAGAAGGCGATCGAAGCTGAGAAACTTAAAGAGGACGAAATGGCTTCGCAATCTCGACAAAGGAAGTTCGAAGATGAACTAAAACTTGAAAAAGCTAAGCTAGAACAGCGAGTAAGATATGAAAAGAAGCTAGAAGAGAGTCGCAGTGTCTCAACCCCAAATCGACCAAATACAACGGCAAGTTACCTAAGCTGGTGATTTCCAAATTCAACGGTAATTACACAGACTGGACAAGATTTTGGGAACAATACGAAGCAGGAATTGGTGCAACTGACATTTCAAATGTTACAAAATTTTCATACTTGAAGGAACTATTAGAACCTAAGGTACGAGCATTAGTTGATGGATTACCGCTGACCACAGAGGGTTTCGAGAGAGCGAAGAATATTCTGAAAACTAAGTACGGTAAAGAAAGCGAAATTTTTAATGCTTATATCAGCAACATTATGGCAATTGAACCAGTTCATGGAACAAATCCAAGCAAGATTTCTATTTTCTATAAAAAATTACTAGCAAATGTACAAGCATTGGAAACTTTGGGTCGAATCGGAGAAGTGAATGGGTATGTGCGAATGATATTGGATAAGCTGGAAAGTATACGTGGAGATTTGGTGCGTACAGATGATGACTGGCAAAGCTGGAAATTCCCCAATCTTATCGAAGCATTGCGACAGTGGACAGAACGGAACCCACCAAGACATGAAGACAAAACTGAGAGAAAACCAAAGGATCCTAGGGCCCGAAGCTTTCATGCAAGGGAGAGAGAGAGGTGTAACCAAGACCGTGTGTTTATTGCAATAGTACGCAACACAAGTCAGTGAAATGCGATAAAGTTACAACTCCATCTGAGCATAAGAAACTTTTATCCTCAAAGAAACTATGCTTCAACTGTACAGGTACCAGCCACAGAGCTTCAGCATGTCGCTGCCCATCCTTGTGTCAAATATGTCGTAAGAAACATCACACTTCTATCTGTGAAGAAAAGTCAGAACAAATGCTAGTAGCTAATGGTGACAGTTCGGTTATATATCCTGTTGTTGTAGTCAAAGTAAATGGTATCCGTTGTCGTGCACTGCTGGACACCGGAGCAGGCAGTTCATACGCATCAGCCGCCTTGCTAGATCGAATCAAAACCCGTCCAGTACGAAAAGTAGTCCGTCGAATCGAGATGATGATGCAGACCACAAGACAAGAAATCGAAGTTCACCAAGTGGATGTGGTGAGTTTATCGGACCAGTTTAACCTGAGAACTGAAGTAACTAAAGTGAATCGTGGCGTGTTGCTAACCCTTGACAACCCCAACTATCCTGTCCTGATAAAACAGTATGATCATCTGAATGGAGTGACCATGAATGACACAGACACCAAGCAAGAATTACCAGTACACTTAATCTTGGGAATTAGCGAATATACCAAGATTAAAACCAAGACAACCCCCAAAATCGGCAAACCTGGAGAACCTGTAGCAGAGCTGACGCAACTGGGCTGGACCGTCATGTCTCCTGGTAAGGAAGCTGACCTAACCAAGATGCTCTTAACCCAGACAACTCCTTCAGACTATGAGAACTTGTGTAGACTTGACATACTCGGGCTCAAAGATCTTACAACAAGGAAAGTGGAAACACTGAGATTTACACGAGCATTATTTGGCCTTTCTACATCGCCGTTCCTGTTGGGCGGTGTTATTGAGCAGCACCTGCAGAACATGCAATAGGTTTATCCACGTGAAGTTGACGAGATACGACGAAGTCTGTATGTGGATGATCTCATATCCGGAGGGACAACAGTTGAAAAAACCGAGCATCTTAAGAAATCGTGCGTGACCATCTTTGGTGAGGCGAAATTTGATTTGGACAAGTGGCATTCGAATAATCCAGCCCTCGAAGCGGAAATAAAACCCCTCGAAGCGGAAATAAGACCCCTCGAAGCGGAAATAAAACCCCTCGAAGCGGAAATAAAACCCCTCGAAGTGGAAATAAAACCCCTAGAAGCGGAAACAAATTCCCTCCAAACAGTCGAGACAAGTTATGCGAAAGAGCAATTGGGAGTG